TTTGTTATAAACTCTGATATAACAAACCTGCATTTATAGGACCACACTCAATAGGTTTCAGTCAGTCCTCAGGCTACACATCAGCATTCCCTGCAAGATATGTGCTTGGGCAGACACCCAGGAGAGATTCAGGTACTGCTAGCTGATTACCAGGGTGTCCACAGCTGGCAGCATGTGTTTCAACTGTAGGTGGACATTCACACATGCCTTGGTGCACATAAGAAAACTTATTCCACACTTGGATGGAAAAAATTAGAAGGAATTAATGGACACAAGTGGAAATTTAACTTGAGTAATGACTAAATAAGAGCTGCAGAAGGCCTTGAATTGTTTCATGGCCAAATACCTCCACTTCCCAATGAGAGCCCCTTCTCTGTATTTCATCTTCAGAAGACTGTACTATGACAATCGCAATTTTGGTCTCTCTGAAATTATTATACAAGGGGGAAATTCCAGCTTCCCAACAAAAGCCTTCCACAAGGCTATTCCTGGACTTTCTCAGTTCATTTTCCTGATTAACTAGTTTGAAAGGGGGAATCATAGAACTGGAAGGGATCACTAGAGGTCATTAAGTCCAGTCCCCACATTCGTGGCGGGACCAAGAACCATCTTCTAGATCATCCCTGATATATATTTATCTAACCTGTTCTTAAAAATTGCCAGTGATGGAAATTCTACAACCTCCCTTAGACAATTTATTCCAGTGTTTAACCACCCTGACAGTCAGGAAGTTTTTCCTTAATGTCCATTCTAAACCTCCCTTGCTGCAATTTAAACCAATTGCTTCTTGTCCTATCATCAGAGGATAAGGAGAATAATTTTTCACCCTCCTCCTTGTAACAGCCTTTTAGATATTTGAAAACTGCTATCATGTCCCCTCTCCATCTTCACTACTCCATATTAAACAAACCCAATTCCTTCAGTCTTCCCTTGTAATTCATGTTCTCTAGACCTTTAATCATTTTTGTTGCTCTTCTCACGACCGTCTCCAGTTTGTCCACATCTTTCCTGAAATGTGGCACTGAGAACTGGACATAATACTCCAGTTGAGGCTTAATCAGCGCAGAGTTGAGCAGAAGAATTACTTTTTATGTCTTGCTTACACCACAGCTGTTAATATATACCAGAATGATGTTTGGAGTTTTTTGCAACAGTGTTAAACTATTGACTCATATTTAGTTTGTGGTCCATTATGACCCCTAGATCCCTTTCCGCATTACTCCTTCCTAGATAGTCATTTCACATTTTGTATGTGTATAATTAATTATTTCTTCCTATGTGGAGTACTTTAATTTTTTCCTTATTGAAGTTCATCCTATTTACCTCAGACCATTTCTCCACTTTGTCCAGATCATTTTGAATTTTCATCCTATCCTCCAAAGCACTTGCAACCCCTCCCAGATGGTATAACCCACAAACTTTATAAGCATACTCTCTATGCCATTATCTAAATCATTAAACAGAACCGGTCCCAGAACTGATCCTTGTGGAACCCCACTCATTATGCCTTTCCAGCATGACTGTGAACATTGACAATTACTCTCTGGGAATGGTTATCCAACCAGTTATGTACCTACCTAATAGTACAGCCATCTAAGTGGTATTTCCCTGGAGCAGGGGTGGGAAAGAGGGCCTCTGGGGGCCATATCCAGCCTGCCAAGTGGGTTGTTCTGGCCCACAGAGGCCCTGCTGCTCTCCTGCCCCCAGGCCAATTACGGCCTGGGAGCGGGCAGAAGCGCACAAAGTTTCCTCTGCCCTGCCAGGAGTGCATGGAGCTTAGAAGTGCCACGTGCTTCTCGCGGGTCAGGAGGAGACTTTGTGCGCTCCCCTCCCCCAAGCCCTGATTGGCCTGGGGGCAGAAGAGGAAACATGCGAAGTCTCCTCCCACTTCCAGGGTCAAGGGCACCTAGGGGGAAACCTCTGGGGGTGTAAAGACTTCCTGCACTCCCCCACCCTCAGACCAATCATGGCCTGTGGGTAGAGAAGCAGGGAACTATCTTGGCCCAACCTAGGGTTGCCAGGTATCCGGTTTTGAACCGGACAGTCCGGTATTTGAGCTTTCTGTTCGAGAAACAAATCGAGAAAATATAAATGAGAAAATATAAATGTCTGGTATTTTCTAAATTAGATGTAATGTAGATTGTGATGTAATGTCAAGTGTGTCTGTTATTTTTGTTGAAAACATCTGGCAACCCTAGCCCCACCCCTTCTGCTTGAGGCCACGCCCCTTCTGGTGCAGCCCAGAGCCACTTCAAAAATTTCTAAAGTGGCCCCCAGCAAAAAATTATTGCCAACCCTTGCCCTAGAGTGTTTTAATGAGCATGTCATGTGATACTTATCACCAAATCTACTGCTTCCCCCCATTCACAAGGTTTGGTACCCTGTCAAAAATAGTTATCAGGTTCATTTTGATAGGATAACGAGCCTTGTGGATAAGGGAGAAGCGGTGGATGTCATATACCTAGACTTTAGTAAGGCATTTGATACGGTCTCGCATGATATTTTTATTGATAAACTTGGCAAATATAACTTAGATAGGGCCACGATAAGGTGGGTGCATAATTGGCTAGATAACTGTAGTCAGAGAGTTGTTGTTAACGGTTCTAAATCCTGCTGGAAAGGGATAACAAGTGGAGTTCCGCAAGGGTCTGTTTTGGGACCCGTACTGTTCAATATCTTCATCAATGATGTAGATATTGGGATAGAGAGTACGCTTATTAAGTTTGCAGATGATACCAAACTGGGTGGGGTTGCAACTTCTTTGGAGGATAGGGACATAATTCAAAATGACCTTAGCAAGTTAGAGAAATGGTCAGAGGTAAACAGGATGAGGTTTAATAAAGAGAAATGCAAAGTGCTCCACTTAGGAAGGAACAATCAGTTCCATACATACAAGATGGGAAGCGACTGTCTAGGAAGGAGCATGGCGGAAAGGGATCTAGGGGTCATAGTGGACCACAAGTTGAATATGAATCAACAGTGTGATGCTGCTGCAAAAAAAGCAAATATGATTCTAGGTTGTATCAACAGATGTGTTGTAAGCAAAACGCGTGAAGTCATTCTGACGCTCTACTCTGCACTAGTTAGGCCTCAGCTGGAGTACTGTGTCCAGTTCTGGGCACCACATTTCAAGAAAGATGTGGAGAAATTGGAAAGGGTACAGAGAAGAGCGACAAGAATGATTAAAGGTTTAGAGAACATGACCTATGAAGCCAGGCTTCATGAACTGGGCTTGTTTAGTTTGGAAAAAAGAAGATTAAGGGGGGGACATGATAGTGGTTTTCAAATATCTAAAAGGGTGTCACAAGGAGGAAGGAGAAAATTTGCTCCTCTTGGTTTCTGAGGACAGGACAAAGAGTAATGGGCTTAAAGTGCAGCAGGGGCGGTTTAGATTGGACATTAGGAAAAAATTCCTAACTGTCAGGGTGGTCAAATATTGGAATAAATTGCCAAGGGAGGTGGTGGAATCTCCCTCTCTGGAGATATTTAAGAACAGGTTAGATAGACATCTGTCAGGGATGGTGTAGACGGAGCTTGGTCCTGCCTTGAGGGCGCGGGGCTGGACTCGATGACCTCTTGAGGTCCCTTTCATTCCTACTATTCTATGATTCTATGATTTGATATGATTTATTCTTGACAAATCCATGCTGACTGTTACTTATCACCTTATTATCGTCCTGATGTTTCCAGATGAATTCCTTAATTATTTGCTCCATTATCTTTCCTGGTATAGACGTTAAACTGACTGGTTTGTAAAATTCCCTGGGTTGTCTTTATTTCCCCTTTTACAGAGGGGAATCATATGTGCCCTTTTCCAGTCTTCTGGAATCTCTCCAATCTTCCATGACTTTTCAAATATACTAGCTCATGGCTCAGATATCTCCTTAGTCAGCTCCTTCTCTATGTATTTTTTAACTTGTTTAGCTTTTGAACCTACCCCATTTTCACTGGCATTCACTATGTTAGGCATCCAATCACCACTAACCTTCCTGGTGAAAACCAAAACAAAGAAGTCGTTAAGCACCTCTGCCATTTCCACATTATCTGTTATTGTTTCCCTCTCTTCACTGAGTAATGGGCCTACCCTGTCCTTGGTCTCTCTCTTGCTTCTAATGTATTTGTAGAATGTTTTCTTATCAGCCTTTATATTTCTAGCTAGATTGAGCTCATGTATGCCTTTGCCTTTCTAATTTTGCCCCTACATAATTGTGTTATTTGTTTATATTCATCCTTTGTCATCTGACCTAGTTTCCACTTTTTCTTGGACTTTTTTTTTTATTTTTAGATCAGAAACTGCATTCTTCTTCATTCCCAGCCCAGGATCTACAACATACACTTTTCAGTCCCTTATCTGAAAATCAATTGACATGGTAAGAACTATTTATAGTGCAGGATGGGAGCTGATCCAACAAAACTTTCTAGTATGAACTGCTACAATTTTATAAAGTAATATTACCCATGATGCAGCTGCCACAGAAACTCAAAGGAAGGTACAGGTTAAACACAGCTGTGGGATGACAACACAGTAAAAGTACCACATGTGTTCTATATCCGGGTTATAACAACTGATCTCAAACGGGCTATTGGCTGAACTTCTTTCTTAAATGTTGTCTTTCCTTCAAACACTGGTGAAGGTGGGGGTGGGGATTTTTGACTTATAGAATTATTTTAGGAATAATCAAGACAAAGCTCATTCTTGAGATTTTATATTAAATATGAGAGCTGCCCTCATTTTAAATTAATGTATGTTGTATTGCAATAAGGTTTGATTGATGAAATAATGTACAAATGTCAAATATTTACTGTTAGGGTACATCTACAAAGCAGAGCAAAAGTTGAATTAAGCTACGCAACTTGAGCTCCACAGCAGGAAGTCGAAGGAAGAATACTCTTCCTTTGATTTCCCTTACTTCTCATGAAATGAGGGTAACAGGAGTCAGAGTAAGAAGTCCTCCAGCTCAACATTATTTCAAAATAAAGGCTTACAGTATAGACACGCTCTTTGTTATTTCGGAATAAAGTTAGTTATTCCAAAATAATGCTGCTGTGTAGACATAGCCCCAGTGTCTGTTTGTGTAATGGTGTCTATATCTGAATGGTAAATCCAGAAAAGAAACAGAAGATGCAGTAAATAATTACTGCAGAAGCTATGTGTGGCAGACTACAGTTAAGATTGGGAGAGTGGTTTGCCATTGTATGTATAAAACCACCATCATAAGGGATGGGTATAAGAACCCTGAATGGGTTGGAGGCTGGACTATCTGTTTTACAAATTTCACGTTCTGCTGCTTACCAGTATTTCCATTGCATCTCACAGCATTTTCACCCAGCATCCCTAGTAATTAGAGATGAGCAAACTATTTGTACCAATAACCTATTGGGCCAATTTAATCCCTTTTTTGTTTGGGTGTGGATCTTGCAGGTATAGACTCTGCTTTCCTTAATTAGTGTGTTTACGATTCAAGATTGCATTTGCAAATGCATTTCACCCAGAGGGGTTATTGACAAATGCCCCACATTGATTTTGGCTCTTGGTGGTGTGTGATTAATTCCTGATCCTTGAATGTACAACTTTGATAAACAGAAGAAGGGAAATCAAGTGATTTCAATGTAGCATTACAAATACAGAACATGAGTACTTGTGGGATTTTCACTTTCCATGAAAAAAAAGTCATTCAGATAAATATGCACAGAAAATAAATAAAAAGGGCTATGTATCCGGCCAAAGTGTATTCACAGGTTTGATTCATTAATTAATATTCCATATATTTTCTTCTTCTATTTGCCCAGCTCTAATGTTGATACTGCAGTTAGGGTGAAAAATTACATGGTATGTAGGTTACAGAGGAAAGGCTATACTGAATTAAGTCTGCCATTGTGTTGTAACTTATTTACAAAGGAAGAAGTTGAGAAGAAAATAATGGTCGGCATGTTCCCATATACCTGTCCATATGCCTTTACACCTCCAGGTGTGTTTCGTTCATTGCCGTTGGCTCTCTATTTCCAGATATTGTATATAGCCTAAAGGAAGGAAAAATATGGTCATATTTCCTGAAATAACCTGGCTTATAAATGAGTATTTGGAAATTAAAATATTTAAGGGCTACCCAATTTTTCCAAAATGTACCTGGATTTCTTGAAGGAGCTCTTCTTCTGCAATGCACGGCAACAGGAAAATTTACAATCAATGACCTGGTAAATAATTGGGTTGTACATAGCTGCCGACTTTGCAAGCAAGGTTGGTATGACTGAAACATGAATGGGCACTGAGTCTGGCTGTCCAAAAGCTGACCACACTGAAACCACAGCATATGGGATCCAGGCAATTAGAAATCCTGCGCAGATCAACATTGCCACCTTGTGAGAATAAAAAGAAAGGAGAGAAAAGTCACCTAACCAAATGGTCTTTACTGATACACCTCACTGCACAGTATTACTATTGTCCAGCATTGCAGAAAATGTGAGGGGGCACACAAAACAGAATGAAAAAATAATCCCTTTGTGTCAGATAATGCCTGCAGTTAGAACCAATGCTGTAATTCATCTCACTGTCTCCAGCTATAATATTGCTTGACATTTATAGAACAAACGGGGATTCTGCTGGCCTAAATCGTTCCAAGAGCTCATTGGGCCAGGCAAAATAGGAAGAAATTGAAAAAAAAGCCAGTGAATTCTGATTCTCTGCAGTTAATTTAAATGAGTATACTAATAAGTACAGAGAGAAGGTGATGCTTAAAAAAGGCTTTAAAATGCTTAAAATGCTTTTTTTTTAAAAAAAAGTCACGTTGTTCTTGAGAATTGAACACCAATAGAAATTATTTAAAATGCCAAAGTCCTGGATAATATTAAAGTGATGTGGAAGCATTTAAAATTTGTGTGGATTAAATCACAGGTTTTGTGCTTATCTGAAATACTTTTTCACTTTTACAGCCTCTTCCACGTAAATGCTTTCCAAATGCACATGCAGTGAGCCTCAAAACACTCCTGAGAAGTAACTTTAAAAATAACAAATAGTCTTGCAGCACCTTAGAAACACTAAGGTGCTGCAAGGCTATTAGTTACTTCTTAAGTTTTTTTCTGTTACAGACTAAACCTCTGAACCCCTGAGAAGTAGTAAATCTTCTTTTATCTCTATTTCATAAATGGAAACTCAGGCCTAGTGAGGCTAAGTCCAAAATTTGCTTATTGAAAGGTCACGCTCTCATTTGCATATCCTCTTCTTTTGCAGAAGAGGTTTTTGCGCAAAAATCCACAGTGTAGACCTGGCCATTTTGCACAAAAAATCCTTTTGTGCAAGAATCCTGTAAACCTCATTTTTGGAGGAATGAGGGTTCTTGCGCAAAAGGGCCCCATCTATACTGCGTTTATTTTG